AATCCCAGATAATCCCTCGTCGAATGTCTGACTCCCATGTCGTGTCCGGATCCTATGTCGTTAAGTCYCGAGTCACAACTCTCCCTCTTCTCTCGTAGTCTGCAGATGTAGTGAAGTCAGATGTGAGAGAGGAAGAAGGGGATAAAGGACTGGACTAAGAAGGGGAAGAAGAACTCTCTTTCTCTCTCTATCTTTCTCTGTGTCATGCATGTTCGATGGCCGTTTTCATGTGTCCAGATCGTGGCAACGAGAGCCCGAAGCGCAAAATATATACGCGTCCCTCTCTCTCACTCTCTCTCTAGCGTGCAAGTATGTAGGCAAGCAAGCAAGAGAGTGCGTTGCTGTACTCAATCAACCAATTCGGAGTAATCTCCCTCTCTCTCTCCTTGATCACCCTCTCTCCCTCTCACACATACACACACACACGCACACTTCATCGATAGGACGAGCAAAATCAGAATGAATCTTCCACTGAAACGTGGAAATGTACAGTGTACACTGTCACTTTGTGATTTGCCCATTCTATCGATCCAAGTAACGCGCGGCGAGCCGCGAGTAGGAGACTTAGCTGTTGGTCGAGGTTGGAGACTTATAGTCTCCCTCTCTCTCACTCTCTCTCTCTCACTTTCTCACGTACCCACACACTTACTGTTCACACACTGTAAAGGTGAAGACCAGAACAAGAACCGATCTCCCATACAAAGTACAAAATAGTATAGCGGGAGAGTTAAATACCAATGATCCGAACAATCAATATTGCAGCGCAGCCCCAACATATGTCACCATCGTTTTCACGGTGAAACGGGCCCCGGCGCTTACACAGGAAGGACGCGCCAGTCCCCGCCATTCCAGACGAAGACGAGGCTACACAGACGAGGAGGAGGGTACACAGACGAAGAGGAGGGATAAGACGAAGAAGAGGGTGGTTAGACGAAGAAGAGGGAAAAATGGGAATGTCGTCAACACCAAGTTTGTGACACAGGTCCCAAATAATCCCGTCCAAATTGTCCGAATCCAAATGTCGAGTTTGGATCCAATGTCGCCAAGTCTCAGTCCCAACTCTCTCTCTCTCTCTCTCTCTCTCTCTCTCTCTCTCTCTCTCTCTCTCTCTCTCTCTCTCTCTCTCTTTCTCTCTCTCTCTCTTAGTTCACAGATAGTGAGAAGCCGGATGCGAGAGGAAGAGAGAGACGGTGGATTTAGATGAGGGAGAAGAAGAACTCTCTCTCTCCTTTCTTTCGTAGTAGTAGTAGTAGCAGTAGTAGTAGTAACCTGCAGATGATGATAGACCGTGTAGCATGAGGGAGCGGATACTTTAGCAGTTGGCCAAGGTTGGGGACTCAACGTTTCCTCTTTCTCTCGCCTCGGTCGAATCATGAACGTATCATACCCCCATCCCATCGATAGGATGAGCGAAACGGAATAAATCTTTCCGCTGAAAACGTCGCAATATACACAGTCACTTGTTGATTTGCTCTTCCTATCAATCCCGGTAGCGCGTGACGAAGCGCGAGTTGGAGACTGATAAGCTCTCTCTCTCACTCTCTCTCTCTCTCTTTCGCTCATAGTCTGTAGATGCAGTGAAGTTGGATAGCGAGAGGGTGAGAGGGAGAAGGCGGACCGAGACGAGGAAGAAAAAAAAAAACTCTCTCTCCCTTTACCTCTCTCTCATACACATAAGCTAGATCGTAGCGAATCTTTTCACATTTTAGTGGTAGATTCATTAATTTTATTTATTTATCTATTTTGTTTATTTATTCAATTTCATTATTATTACTATATTATTATTATTATTATTATATAGGTGGTGGAATTCGGCCTCGAGGAACGGGACTCACCCGTTCTTTCTCCCGCTCCCCGTCGTCGTCACCGTTAGAGTTGTCTTCTGCAGCCCGTCGTCGTTCTCCTTTCCGTCGCCGTGCCCTTGGTCAGGTAAGTATCCCTTTTCCTCTTTCTCCTCTTCTTCTCCTTCTTCTTCTCCTATCTCTTTCCCTTTCTCTCTCGTTCCCTCTTTGCGWGTCCTCCCACTCACTTTCTTGCCTACAATGCCATTCACCTTTGTTGAGTTTGTTGCCGCCACCGTGCTTGTTCATTGGATCCGGTAAGTTTTCCTTCTCCTCCTCTTTCTATTTCCTCCTTCGACTTCCTCTTCTCCTTCTCTCTGTCGCGCGACCTCCTACACCTTCTCCATGTTTCTTTTCCTTATTCCTTCGCGGTTCTTTTCCCCTTACGAGTTGTCTCCCCCGACTTTCTCACGCGCTCCACCCTTCACCTCTCCGCGCTTTCCCCAGCAAGCGGCCGTTCCCAATCTTGCTTCTGCGCGAAATTTGCGGTGGCTTGCTCTTCTCCTTGACGAGGGGCCCTCCGTGCTATAGGCTGATGACGCACGGTAGGATGGTCGGGCCTCTTCCCTTTTCCGGCTGAATCGGTCCGACTTCCGAGTACAGGTTCACCTACGTTAATCAGGGGATAAAGCTACGGGAAAAGATAATAATTAATAAAAGAAAATAAAATAATGAAACGAATCTAACCTCTGAATTAAAATAAAATAAAAATTTTGAACGAATTCAAACGAGAACTACTACCAACTGCCTAGCGTAGAGTCTCGTTTCAACGAGGCAAATAACACAACCAACCTAGATAACGAGGTCGAGGGATCGCGTCCCGGCCGTTCAAACGCAGGCAAAACGAAAGGTAGAGATCCCTGTCAAAAGGGAGCTAACTCGGAGGGTGGCGGGCCTTGATCCCCGGATCCCCCGTATATCAACCCTGTACTGCAACCTACTGAGCTAGCTCCCACTTCGAATAGAAGGGGAGTAGCTCTAGTATTCATAAAGTAATGTGGCCCAGTCCAACCAATGGCCTGAGCCCACTCTAGCCAGCGCTAGTGTGCATGCTTGCTAATTCTACGTGCCTATCTGAATGTCCGCCGCCTTGGGCATTTACATGACCCGCAGGGGCACGCATTTCATCGGAAGGCCCGAAGGCCGGTACTCAGCCGTGGTTGCGGCATCGAGGGCCGCGGCAGGGTAGATACTCAAGTGGCGGGCAGGCTGGTACCACACAAAGTAGAAGTAGGTGTGGCGGATACTCGACCCGGAGACTGAGTAGGGGAAGGCAAAAACCGAAATTTTCAGAACCACCAGTACCGGAAGGAAGATAGGCACTAGACCAAGTCTCAGTGCGTGTCATAGTCCTACCTGACACAATCATCAGTCCAACTGACCCCTCGACCTCTTCTGTCGAGGGGTATTACTACTAATCCTAATCACCATGACGCGCATCATAATAACGCGCGCACATACGAAATTTTCTCACCGATTTTTCCCCGGCCTCAGTGGTCGAGGAATTTTCTCTTAGTGTCACGTCAAATGTGCAGACCCCTCTCGTTCCAGACTGGCTACGTCATGGTAGCTGGTGCCGCCACAGTGCCTAACGCAAATACGTAGCAAAATACCCTTGTAAGGGTATTTTGTCCGACAGTATCATAGACCTCATTAAGCGACGTCCCCGTCGCTCGGAGAACTATATGCACATAAAGGTGTTTTCCGACAAACAATTTGTCAAATCCGAATCCTGGAATGAAATGTGGTTTCAAGATTGACGCCGTCACCTTACTTTTCATTATTACCGCCGGGATTTTAACCCGGGTATCCCATATAAAATATAATAACTGGAAGTGGGGATACTCGATCTGTACTACAATACATGAATTAGTTAAGTATGACAACGCACCTTTCCTTTCCCCACACCCTTAGTCTTTGGTCCAGGTATTCGTTGGTTGTTTTCAGGGCTGGTGTTCGCGTACGAACTCAACCCGTCAAACGTGGGTCCTAACCGAGACCTTGGGTGTTCAACTCTTGATATCACAATCCAAAGTTGTCTGTCGTCCTGCCCGAAGCCTAATACAGGAGGACAACGGTCTCCATCCTGACCCACCACAGTCCTGCTGATCAGACCGGAGTTGCGGCTCACCGCGTTGTTGCTTATCGGTGGTTACCCTCGTTGGTTGCGCAACGAGGGGATATTCATCCTATCTTTAAAAATTAATAATCTCGACCCCTTCGACATCTACTTGAATAGATCCTTTCATTGGGGTGGTCACCCCTCTAGTTTCTTTTCGAGACCATAGTCGAAGGGTTCGCTGCCTGGTTATGCTAGGTCAGCAGCCCACGCTGGGAGTTGCGTCCCAACGATGCCAATTTTTCACCATAGGCTTGGTAATTTATGCCCTCAGGTTAACCCTTAGGGTGGATGAACGATGCTTTTTAAATAAACCAAATAAATAAGATAATAAATTGAGCATTCGTCAAGCTACCACTAAGGGTTGTGCCCTCAAAGTCTTTGATCATAGCTCGGTGAGGCACGCACTCGGGGTCATTTTGTATATATATAACCATTATTTTTAAAGTAGACTTTTATTGACTCTTTACTTGTCAGAATCCACAAAAATAAAACATCACTTTCATAGAGATTTTCAAAAGAATTTCTGCAACAAAAATGATAAGACTCAAAGGAGTCTACCGATGTCGTAGCATGGTTTCAAACAAGAAATGTACAATCAATCCAGCTTTTGAAGCTTCACAAACTCATCAAACTTTCACATGAGATACAAATCCGCCCATTCCTCTATCACCTCTTTAGATCTCAACAAATTTTTAGTAGTAATAGACGAAGGGAGATCTTAGGTTATTAGAGATTCAACCAAATACAAAGGCCCACACACAATGTGACAAGTGCGTCGTGTCCACCAGCTCATCCCCCTGAGTGATATATATAAATACAAGTACGTTACGGAGTTAGATCAACACTCCACTCTACTATCCCTCAAATACCTCTCATGTCATTTCCCATACTACTTCTTATGCTAAGTTTCCTCATCTGAATAAAGAAAGCACACAACTTGTCTCACTCCTGTTCCTCATGTCCAACTGAAGAAGAAAAACGCATATCCCCTTGCTCTAATTTGCACCTTTCTCTCTCTCATAACTGTCTTTTAAGCCAATTCAAGTCATAGTTTACTTAAAACATCTACATGTTCCTACCTAGAAATCAACTAGCAGTCCCAGTATCCTGTGAAGTGCTACCCCTCAGGTATTCTGGGAATGGTCTGCCCTGTGTCGGCCACCAATCTCTTATGACTATCATATTTGGCTTTTCCTTCCTTGGTATAAACTGCTAGAATGGAACACTCATTCCTGAGGTGCCCTTCCTGAGTGCAGAAGAAACACCTTTGCCCAACCATGATGGGCTTGATTCTCTTTATGTCTGGCTGGATTGAAGTCTCAGTCTGATCCTCAGCCACCTTTGGTGAGTCAACTGGGATTCCCTTTGCCTTTTACCCTATCCTGGCAGAGGCATAGCCACACTCTTACTAACTTCTTTTTCTGGTGCAGGAGACTCTTCTTTCTTCTCCTCAGTCTGTGCCCCCTTCTCTTCATCCCCTTTTCTTCCCACCATCACTGTGGCTTCCTTCTCTTTCCCCTGTTGGCTCAATCTGAATTCCTTCATTCCTCTCAATATTTCTTCCCATCTTTTTTCCCACTCTTGTCCCAACTTCTTTCTTTCTGAGATTTCATTGTCCAAGTCCTGCCCTAGCACAATGACCTCAGAAACCAGACCATCCACCCTTATTTTCATCTTACCTCTTGTGGCCACTTCGTCTTCCAGTTCTCTGCTCCGCACATTCAGGGTGACCCTCAATTGACTCATTTCTTTTTGCAATTTCTCCCTCTCTTTCTTCAATTCTCTCACTTTTTTCCTCATTTCTTTCATATCTCTCATCAACTTCTCCATCTGGCCATCCTTCTCATCTTCCTTCTTTCCTATCCCACTTGTCTCTTCCTTGTCCCCAATCGGCCTCTTTTCCTTAGTTCTCTTGACTTTGGGAGCCTTGCCTCCTCCCTGGACCTTCTTTCCCTCTTCATCTTCTTCTACTCCTTCCCCTTTTTCACTCACCCTTTCTTGTACCTCTTTCCTTCCACTCTCAATTGCCCTTTTCTTTCCAAGTTTCTTCTTCCTTGGTACCATACTCGCCCCCATGCTTCTTTTCCTCTCCTCTGCTGCCTCCTCCTCTTCCTGTTCATCTCCCTCAGCCTGCTCAGATTCCTTGCTGCTGCTCTTGGGGGAGACCCTCGCCTTGTCCTTCAACTTCTTCAGAGGTACATTATCCTCTTCTTCAATTTCTTCCTCCTTCCCCTGTGACTCAGTCACCTCTCTTCCAATCCATAGCCCCTTCTTTTGCAGCCTTTCCTTTCTTATCTGGTCTTGCCTGGCCTGGGTGTAGGTCATCCACAATTTTGCCGTTATGCTTTTCCAGGTTCGACTCCCTTCCAAAATTTCTCTTACTTCCTCCTTTTCGCCTTTGTCTGATCTTGCGATCAACTGCTTCCTCTTTTCCTCCTCGTTTTATTCGCCCCTCTCAGCGGCCAGCAGCAAGCTCTCAATAAAGTCCTCCAGATTGGTCCCATAAAACCTTAAATTATCCTCCATATCATCCCTTGGGAATTCCCCCATGTTTCTCCATAGTCTCACCTTGCATACCCTCCACCTTGTGCAACCTGCCACCACTCCTTCAATCCTCTTCTTGTACATTCCTGCTCCTCTCACATTCGTTATCCTTTCTCTGTCACCCCATTCTCTCCTTAATGCGTACTCCTCAAGGTCTCGCAGGAAAAGTCGCAGGCTGTCTCCAGACCTGTAAATGGGCAACTCCTCCAGGTTCCTTGAGATTCTCTGTTCCCCCCTCTGCCCTCCCTTTCTCAAGGCAGGTCCAAAGGTCCCTGCCACTGCTCCTTTCTGCGCCATGGTCTCTTCTTTCCAAGGCTCACGCCTGCACACAGAGAAGGAGCAAATGACAGGTACAAGGGTCAGATTATTACCAAGGCGACATTCCTTGTTAACACAAGTTGACAATGCCCTCCTTTATCAGATACTTACATACACGCTCATAAACACACACATATATATATATATATCTCATATATACATATATATACATATACACATACATGAGCGTATATACACACACATATCCTCACTTATACCCCTCTGCATCCATGTACGTATACATACATACATATATATATATGTATGTATGTATCCATATATGTATGAGCATAATCTTGGGCAATTGGGTACATACCCGCATAGGAACTGATACACATATGCATGCCTAAATACCTTCCCAATTTATCCAAGCTTTCGTATCGTAGCTGAGCTTACCTCTTCTTTGACTCGGAACTTCTTGAGTTTAGATCCTGAAACCGAGACCTTCCTTGGAGTCCCATCCATCTCTTCTAGCTCATATGCCCATGAAGTCCCTGTCTCCTGACTTTGAATGGTCCTAGCCATCGTTTGTCCAATTTCCACGACCATTGCATTTCTAGAGAGGAATCGTAGAGCCGTACTGTCTCGCCAACTTGTAGAGGTTCGAGTCTTACTCTAGGTAGTTTGTCCCACCTTTCCTTATCCTTTCCCCTGCTATCTGCAACGTTCATGGCTGCTTCCTGCACCCTTTCTTCAGTGGCGCTGATCTGTCTTACCCTTAGATCTAGCAGTTCCTCCAAAGTTAAGTTGTTCTCCAGGTCCTGCCTGCGCCAAGTCTTCAGGAAGCTTTCAATAAAAAATGTGGCGTGACGCCCATACCAGAGTGTCGCAGGTGCATACCCGGTCGTTCTATTTACGGTGATGTTCTCCACCAAGAACACTGTTCTTAGGAACTTTGGTCAAAGGTTCGGCTTCCCACTGGTTCATTTGGCCAGCAAGTTAGTAATTGTGCTATGGCCTCTCTCAACCGGTGCATTCGCTTGTGGATGAGCCCGAGTTGTATAGTTACCTATGACCCCCAATTCCTTCAGCAATTCTTTCACCTCCCCACATGTGAACTCAGACCCTCTGTCCATTGTAAAGATAATATTCTTTCCGCCAGCGTTGCCCCGGTCTTGTTCCTGATCGCTCTGCCATCAATGAATCCTGTAAGGTTGTCTCTTGCGTCAAATATATAATTATATACTCCAAGACCTAGCGGCATAGCCAGTAGATCCAGGTGAACAACCGCCCCTACTTCCTTGATATATCTAGGATGCAGGGGTTCCTTGTACCTGATAGGCGATCAAATTTGACAGGGCACGCATGATTCACAGTATTTTCGCGTCATCTTTAACATTCCTTCCAGTAGTAGAGCTTCATCGCCTTCTTATAAGTAGCTGCGAAACTCCGATGTCCTCCGACTATCCCATCATGCAATGTAGCTACTACGTCAATCTGGCGATTCCTTCCACACACGACACGTCGTGGCGGCCCCCTCTTATCCCTGATGAACAAGTGGTCACCTTTCACCACATAGTGGTCTCTCATCCTGAGAGTCTTCTCACTCACTTCTCTCTCTCTTTTATCTCCTTAGAGGAGCAACCCCATTTCTAAATAGAATCCTTCATACTCCTCTTCCCTGAATTCCTCTGAAATTTCTTCCTATTCGAACTCTCCTTCCTTCTCTTCATCAAACTCGCAATCATCCCAATAATTATTTCATCGGCCTTCACTATTCCTCTTTCATCATTCGCTTGGACTTGTAACAGCGAATTTGTCAGGTAGTACATTCTTCCCATCATGGCTACCTGTTCGTCAGTCTGTTGGACTCCTGCTTCAATCGTTCGCGGCTCATCCATTATCCTATAATTCTCTGCCAGAGCCAACTCCATCATCCATTCCGTACTTCTCTCGCCCCAAGAGTCCTCCTCCTCTAATGGTGTGAGTATCAGGGAAGGTCCTCTCATAAAAGTTTGGAGGCGGATGCCACATTGGATTTTCTCTTCTCATTTCCTTACTCTCGACAAACATGAACCAATAGTTCACGTGAGTTCGCATGTCTTCCCCTTCGTCCAAAAACCCGTCTACTGGAGGCATTCCTTCATTGGATTCTTCTTGATTTTCCCACTCAATTCTGCTCATGTCATCCACCCTGTTTTTGTTCCCAGGGATCCGTTCTAACTGGAAGTCGAACATCCAGATATAGGTGAGCCATCTGGCTATGGTTGAATCTGAGGGCGAGAAATTCTTGAGCGAGTACACAAGTGTCGTAGGATCGATCCTGAGTACAAACCTCCTCCCAAAGAGGTAATGCCTAAAGATCCTTAGGCAATGCAGGACCGCCAAGGCTTCTCTTTTGACTGCGAGTAGTTCCTTTCTGTTGAGTTGAGTGTTCGGCTTTCAAACCTCAGCGACCTCTCCTTTCCTTCACTGTCTGCCTGGATCAGGACGCCTCCCAGGGCGGTTGGTCCAGCGTCAGTTTCAACTATGAAGGGTCTTTCCATAGTCGCATCAAAGTCCGGTACCCCTAGTACCAGACCTCCCTCTCTGAACTCCTTCTTCAATTCCTCCACCACTTCCTCTTGATGGTTTCCCCATTCCCATTCTTAATCCTTCCGGACTAGCTTCCTTAGATGCTCAGTTTTACTAGCAAACCTTTCTATGAATCTTTTCCAGAACCCACAGGTACCAAGGAAGCTTCGAACTTCACCCACATTTCTGAAAGGAGTGGGTCATTCCAGGATTTTATTGGTCTTCTTCTTATCAGGGCGCCGACCATGCTCGTTGCAAATGTATCCTGGAATGGTTACCTCCTTTACGCAATGTCTCGACTTCACTCTACTGGCGGTGAGGTTGTATTATTCTAGTAGAGATAAGACTTCTCTTAACCCTTGAACATGTTCCCATACAAACCTTCTCACCCCTGGAGCCACTTCTGACTCATCCTTCTCAATCGCGCCCTTAACTGCAAGATCATCTATGTATGGCTCGGTGATCTGAGGGGTTATTGGCTGCATAACCCTGATCATGCTCCGTTGCACCATAGCCACAACATTGGTCCATCCTTGTGGCGCAACATTCATATGAACTAATCCTCTTGGCGTGTGCATCGTCGTGATGGGACGGTCTGCCGGATAGACTGGAAACTGATCATATCCAGAGTAGAGGTCGATGAGGGAGACAATCGACCTACCTGCACAAGCTTCTGACAACTGGTCAGCATTGGGCAAACCTCCTGCATCCCTTACAGTTACCTCGTTTAGTCGTTGGAGGTCTTGCACCCATCTAAGAACTTCATTTGGTTTTACAAAACAGAACCAGGGAGAGGCATATGGTCCACTGGAGTACCCTGCCACATCCGTGCGGATCTTTCCATCTAGGTACTCTACCACCCTTCTGCGATCCTCAGGGTTGGGATACTTAGCTCCTCGGACATTCCATGGCTCATGAGGTACAGTATGAATACGGATCATTTCTATCTTGTCTACATCCAGCCTCCCACGTTGATCATCGTTGAAGACATATGCCCCATGTTTTTCACGTATCAGTTCTCTTACCAAGTCCTCCTCTTGCCTTGTCAGAAAGCAAGGTTCCCCTATTACCAGTTCTTTCTCAGTCTCATCGTCAATACGACAAGGCCCGTTCTAGATGTCTTCCCTCATTTGCTGTATCAGTTCTCTTTCCTGATCATAATACACCTCTTCTTCTTGACTCACTAGAACTGGCACAAGGTGACTTTTCTTATCTACCGTCTTGTACCTCCTTTTGGAGCCCCGCTTGAGCCCACCCCTAAAAAATGCTGACCGGCAGCTTGAGCATTCGGCGCATTCAGCACTATCATCTGAGTAGAAGGAGGTGGCCCGTAAACGAGATCAACCCTTCCTCCCGCAATCATTCTCATCCACTTCCAACCCGAGTTTTACCGCGATTTCCCCGTTTATAATATTCATTTCTGCCCCTGTCTCAACCATCCCAGGACACGTCTTCCCCTTTATCATAATATCAATGGACCCTGTTCCCACGAACTTCCAGTCCATTTTGCTTTCTGCCACGCTCCGGTTAGCCTCCTTGGGAATTAAATCCCCCATTCGGACCGAGGTTACTCTCCGGCGTGATAACCTAGCCTTCACCATCTCTCTTAACTTCGGAGCCGAAGCGAGGATTTCTTTCAGGTTTAGTAGTTCATTGTGTCCTTCTAGCAATTTATTTACCAGACCTTCCAGATCCACCCCTTCTTCGATCGAGGTTTGGTACTTTCTCTTCTTGCTTGGTCCCGTATCCCCTTTTGATCTTCCTTCCTTAGCTTCGCATTTCCTTCTCTTAGCCCTTATCTCCGCCTGTCTTTCTTCTTCCTCCCCAATCTTCTCATCCTCATCCTCATCACCCTCTACCGTGATAGGTGGTTCTTCTTCTGCTGGCTGGGAAGCCTGGGCTTCTTCCTTTTGAGGATTCCCTCATGCGGGTCTTCTTGTAGCGAATGAAATTGTTCCTCTCATACTTCTCTGACTTCCATTGTTCCTTGCGGCCATATTGGCTCTCAACATTCTCGGGTTGGGTTCATTTGGCCCATCTCCCGTTCCCCCACGCCCCATGGTAAATACCTTTGGGCATCCTGCTTCTTCACATATCCCTTGAAGCCTCAGATGTAGCCTCCGTATTTTGTATACCAAGTCTTCCATCCTATCGAACGTGTCTCTGACGTTAGCCATAACGTCTTCCTCCTCTGTTTCTTCTTCCACCAACGACACGTCTCCCTTGTCTTCTCCAATCCCCATCCCATTCACTTTCTCTTCCAAGTTAGTTATATTTTCCACCTGCACTACTGGTTTTTCCCTTTTCTGCCCAATTCGGAACATTCCTGGTGCGTTGGGACCAAGTGCGGCCACACGAAGAGCCTCTTCCCTTGTGGCCCCTGGAATCTCAAAATCTATCACCCTACCATTTTGGTCGAATACCTCGCCCTCAATGTTTGATGTTATGAGCCCTTCACGCTTGTCAAGCTTCCTAACATGACATCGTTTAACTGTGTGCCCTTTGATCGCGCAGTGGGTACAAGCGTATTCACTTTAATCAATCCACCCCCTGCCATATCCTTGTCTGTTTCATTGTCCGTTTCCTCTACTATACCCCCTTCCATAGCTTTTGTCGTATCCACGATCATACCTTTGCTGGTATTCCTGCCCGGCTGGATTTGCACCCCCTTGGGGCTGCCCCCAGTTCCTACCTTGGTTTCCACCTCCTCTGTTACCTGCTCCTCGTTCCCCTGGTCCCTGATTTCTACCACCATTCCTACCCCTTCCACGTCCTTGTCCGTATCCCTGTCCTTGTCCTTGTCCTTGTCCTTGGGACCTGTTCTGGTTTTGACCACCCTGGCGGCTTGATCCCGGTTGGTTTTGCCCGGTCAGTTGAAGTTGTCCCCGGTTTTGTTCTCCTCCCAAATTCTGATTCTGGGGTATCATGGGATATGGACCCTGCGCAGGCCATGGCCCTATCGGGAAGTACCCATGCCATGCTCCCATAGGCGGACCCACGGGTCATTGACCATATTGCGTTGTGCTTGTTGACGGCTCTTGTCCATACTGGACTATCGCTTGTTGAGTTACTTGTCCTTTTCCCGACCCTTGTCCTCCGATAGCGATATTTTTAGCCTTCCTCTGAAACTTAGTCAGTTTGCCCGTTCCTTCTGGTCCTCCATCTTCTGCCTCTTCATCTCCATCTTCCTCTTCCTTTTTTCTCTTTCCTGACGGCTGTATCACTGTTAACACTTTCGATAGTGTCACTCTTTCCCTAAGCTCTTTTATCTCATTTGCCATATTGCTCAACACTCCTCCTAGTACACTATCCGTTCCTTGGATCGTCCCTACTGCCTTTCATTTCTTTCGTTCGAACTTGATTTGGTGATGGAACACTTGATCCATGTCTCCCGCCGCGATGTTCCTCTTTATAGTTTCCCAGGTTGTCTTTTTTTCGGCGGCTCCCCTTCGGGTTAGTTCCATCGCCTCATACCCAGAGAATTTCCCTAGGAATATGACGCACTGCATTTCTTCAGACAGTCCAGGGACCCTCTCGGCTGTCTTTTCGAACGTGTTGGCGAATGCTCTGATCAGGAGTCATCTCTGTTCATGTTATAGAGATGGTCAATTGTGAGCAGGCCATCTCCCAACTTAAACATCTTTTGCATACCCTTTTTAAACTCAGCCCAATCATTGTTCGATTTTCTCACTACCTCTTCCACGTCAGAGGTGCATTCCCACCATACATACTCCAACAACTGGGCGAACTTCTCGGCTGGTGTCAATTGGTTGAAGATTTTCTCAAGTAGTTCTAACCAATTAGTGACTCTATCCCCTTTGAAAGAGAATATGTCTATCCTTGGTAGGTAAGATCTCTTTATCGTTCTTTTCTCTAGTAACTGGACGATTTTTGCCGCGGTGATTGGCGGCCCTCCGTTGGCGCTGGCATCGCCCATCTTTTCCCATTTTCTTTCTTGGTTCCTGCTAGACCGTAGACCTTGTTAAGACACACAAAACGGCCATTGATCCACCCTCTTTGTCACTATCTTGACGTAACTCTTTACGCTATATGACTTGTCATACCTCTTTTCTCTCAACCGAGTATCTCTTCTAGGAGCACCCAGTCCCCATGCCAAAAGTTTCTAACCATACCAAATAAAGAAGACATCTCATCTATAAATTTTTCGATACATGCTTCCCGGCAAAGATTGCGCCAGTAGGTCGAGAGATCTTCCAAATGGTAGATGCGTAGATACGTGTTTACCACGCATAGTACGTTATAAAAATCCTTATTCTTTAGTTTCGGTCTCATCTCTAAGTATAGACGGTAAACAACTTCCGAAACCTCGAATTCGAAGCCCATCTCTGGAACAGATCGGGCTGCGAGTACTGCCCGTTCTACATTCTCAATCCCCCAAAATGCTTCATCAATTATGAAGTTCAGAAGCGTGGCTTTAACGTACCTTGTTGGATATACGAACTCAGCGGCCCACTTCGCTTCGATTGATTTTATAACTTCCCCTTCTTCTCCCCAATACATCCTCCTTGAAAACACGTTAAGGGTCATTCCGGCTATTAATACGTACTGAGAGACAGGGCGGCTTTCTCCTATCGCAAGATCGATCGCGTGTGCCCTCCAGAGAAGGGCTGGTAGATAAAGGGTCACTTTCACTATTGTCTGTCTTTCCCTTGTGGTCCACCCAGTTTCTATCCAGAGGAAGCCTTCTTGTCCTATCGGTATCCCGCACCATGAATCCATTTCCTCATCCATATCTATCGTCCTCTTCGGTAGTGTCATTTTGACTCCTCCTTCCTTTGACTCTGGCAGGTTGATCAGGAAGCTCCGATCAGCGAACCACATCAAATGAGCCATCCTGGTATACCTATTACAACAGCTAAAGAAAGGACCTTTCTCTTCTTAGTAACTGCTCAATTTCTCCATTCCTTAACAATTTTTTATCCCAGTCTCCTTTTAGCACCCCTTCCTATTTGATCGAGGATCCCTTGTTTCTGTTCCTCCCAGTAGACATTACCTATTTTTCCAATCGTGCTGACGTGCATATGAGTCGACCCTTGATAGTATGTCTTGAGGATCCCTTCCTTCAATCAAATGCCCTATCTCTAGGTATATGTAGTATACCAGCAGAGGGATAGATGTGTGATATTATCTCTCAGGTATTGCCATTGCGGCTTCCGCAGCCCTTTCCACTCGGGTCCTCCCTCCGAAGGCTGCATCTATGATGAACATGGGAAGGGTTCCCCTTAGATATGCCGCGGGCGAAAGAAAATCATTAGTCTTTTTTACCCTCACAGTTCCTATCATTCCTTCAAACCTATTCAAACTTACATCTCTTCTCCTAGACTTGAGCGCGGATTCTGCTATCCACAATAGTTTGGAAAGAGATCGATCAGTTCCTAAAACTAAATTTATTATGATAGTTTGCAATTTCTCCGAAGAAAGATACACGGTAACCCTTTCTACTGCGCGATTTTTGCCTCTAACCCATCCAGACTCGATCCAAATGAAAGTTTGTTCCTCTGCAGAAATCCCCCAACAATACCCCGTCTCTTCGTTCTCCTCATGACGACTTGGCAGATTCATCATCAGGCCACGCCTCATTTGCACAGGCTCTCCGATCGTGATTTGATATCGGACAGAAACCATCTTCTTTTTTTTTGTATACTCCATCTACTACACAACACAATCCAGCCCACATCTCTTTTATTTTAGCTAGTAGACTTATAATCCTAAGATCTGACTGATTTTCTTTTCTATCCCATCATCTCCTTTGATCCTTTTGAACCTTTATATAATATTTTTGTACACTAAGTATGTTACTAACCCAAAGATCTCTATTTGACATAGTAAAAACATTAAAAGCGATATGCACATCCTCCTATCAGGAGACGCAGACTGCGCAACTACAGGAGGATCAGGCACGCTTGGTGCCCCGTGGGGCCCCTGTTGGTGAGGCGGGGAAAGGATAGTCAACTGCCTCTCTTGAGATGGTGGGTAAGGGCTATGATGCGATCGACTAGGCAGCTCGAAGCGCGGCGAAGATTCTCCGTAACGCCTTGCGTACCTATACG